AGCTTCTGTAATCACTTTCACTAAGTGTTCATCTCTGTCTTTCTTACACTCATGTAAAAGTTGAATATTATCGATGATATTCTGCGAGTGCGCAGATATATGATGCTGACGAGAGCTAAGTGCATCTTCCCATTTCTGGTTGACATCGCAAAGATCAGATACAGTTTGCCAAGGCACAAAAAGTGTAAGAATAGCTCGACAATATCGTTCTTGGGCGTCTTCACGATCCCGTCGAGGTATTTGAGGACCATAGAGGATTGGTACACGATGTTCAATACGTTTCGTCGTTACGTGGGTCGTTGCTTGAGGATGTTGTTTTTGAAAAGGAAATCGTTGATTAGGTGGTCGACCTCTGCGATTATCCTGCTCTTCTCTTCCTATAGAGCTATCAGCTATATATTTTAAATCAGACGTGTTGATCTTTTTTTTTATAAAATGCGCTATCAAAATCGTATAAGCACACATTATCGAGAGTTCCTGATCGATACTGATAATCAATCCTTCCGTTAACTAGCACGAAATCGTTTCCATTTTCATTTTCGACAGGTTGAATTTGAAAATTTTCTTCATTATCATTTTCATCGTTAGGCACATTATCATTGCGTTCATCATAATCCATGGCATCTATGTGTGAAAAAAGATAAGATAGCTTTTGTCGATCTGATTTTTATGATCATATTCCTTCACGTTCCCATCAATAAGAGAAGAATTATACTGGAAGAGCTCCGTTCATTCCGTGTCACTTATCTACGTGATATATTTGATGTAGCAACAATACTTTAGGACAGCTGGATACCATGTTAAGTATATCTTATTATGTCTTCTTATATGATGACCGTATGTTATTCTTTTCCTTCCTCTCACTCTCATTAATTGTTTATATAACAAACGTTTCTTCTCTTTCTTCCATTCTCCCGCTCATCGCAGCATGTATATTATGTCTTGATTGATTTTTTTCTCTCTTCCTTTTTTGTTTATTTCTCCCCCTCTCCCCCCTTCTCTCCTCTCTCTCTCTCTCTCTCTCTCTCTTGGCATCTGACGATAAAAGAAGAAGAATTCTCATATGAAAAAAAAATGCAACTATAAGAGAGACAAATGACGAAACAGTCATACTGTTACCATATGAATCTCTTTCTAAGTTTCGTTTGACACGTAATTCATTCAATTCTGTCTGTAAGTATCGTTCAGTTTGAATTAAATAAAGTCCTTGGAATTTGTGTGTCGTATAATGATCGTCCCCATTCATAAGATACGAAGCAACTTGCGCTCCAGATAACTCTTGTTGAGACGCAAGTGTATTATAGCAACGTAAAACGAATTTACGTGATCTTTCGATAGCACTGTCTGTATTATCCACTTGATTTGATATGTCTCCGAATGATGCAACATTTTTCTGAATAAGAGAAAATGTGTCGTGAAAAGAAAGACTGGATTTTGTCAAATAATCTGTAATATAATAGACAAACGGTTTGGCATCGCTGCCTGTCCAAATAAACTTGATGTCCATGTTAGAACGACATGCTGATATGATATATTCATTATAATTATTGATCATTGGATGCGATCGTCGCATACGTATATCCCCAGCTTCAGGATCAATTATCGACTTTGGCACTAATTTGCGTAGCAAACGCATTCGACAAACTCGTTTGCCGTTATAGATAAGATCACAGTATTTGTAACATGTATCAGTGTGAATGTGAGTGTTCCGTGCTTCAACTAGTAGTACTACATCAGCACGAAATCTCAATTTGAAATTAGAGGACGATGGATTTGGAGTAGGTAAGCAGGCTGGAAATAGTTTTGGTTGAGTACCCTCAACATTTATCCCTAGAATAATGATGCATATTTATTGTTTTATCAAAAAGTGATTAAATACAGTGAAACCTCCGTAAGATGAACACCTACGGGACCGCACGAAAAGCGTTCATTATGGGAGTTGTTCATTATATAGAGGTTTTCAATCCATTGATAGGATACGAATGTAGAATACACAGTGAACACGACTGAATGGTATCTATGAGTTTTTTGTAGTATATTCCATCTAGTAAACCCGAAGTCAATCAAGTAGGGCTCTTGATAAAAAAAATCCAGTGAATTGCTGTGAAATGTATTGTTTTGAATAGTCTCATTAACCTTGTTCAGTTCGATGGGAACATGAACGAGTTTTAAACTTAGACGAGAGGTAAAATCATAGTATTGTGATTGATCATTACTAATAGAAAGATGAGGTTATCAAACTACTGCTAATAACTTGTTGACACCTTCAGAAGTGTCAATCTGCTTTCCCATCTTCTACTTTGATTCTACAGTCGATTTAGTTCCTACGCTAATTAGGATCGAGAGAAAATTAATTAAAATGTTCCAAATATTCTCATCGCCTATTTTGTTTTCTGCGCAAGGCCACTTTCTATGTATAAAAAAAATCGTCAAAAGACTGGACAAAACAGTTTCAAAATATTTTTACCCTCTTTTTTCTACTAAAAAATGTATTTTACCGCAAATCTGTTCATTTCTTAGAGGTTTTCTTTGTCAAAGGGACCAAAAAAAAGCGTTCAATGTTCAGAGGTTGGAGGTGTTCATTATGTAGAGGTGCAATCACAGCAAAAATCAATCGGGGGGACCGAGGAACGTGTTCAAACAAGAGGTGTTCATTATACAGAGGTGTTCATTGAGGGAGGTTTCACTGTAATCGTACCAAGTATTGATCGGTCCGATGTTGGCGTTTGTAATAGTTCGTGGTAGGGAGGAGATGCATACGGTATTAACAACGACCGGTACGAGGTTGATGGAGATCTACCAAACATCACGGGCGATGCATATGGAATCGATGGAGATGATTGTCCTTTCACTGGCGTTGACCAAACGGTAGAAGGATTAGAATGATCTGCGTTTCGTTCAGAATTTGTAAACTCCATAGCGCGTAAAGCTGTATAAATAGTATCTGTTGCTAGTTGTGGTGAATGATCGGATGTTGACGGAGCTAGAAGAAAGCAAGGAAGAATGATTCTGATAATAAAAGAAGGAAGGAGTGTTATTACTGGATGGGTCTTGAATTTTTATGTCTTTGAAGTCATCTAGGTCTTCTTTGATAATATCTTCCAAGTATGCGATAAGTCTTTCACGAAAATTTGAATCCTGCACCTTTTCCTTCATATCAGTTGGTTTGATCTTGATATCGAGCCAAATCAAGAGATGTAAATGAAGCGAACCGCGACCTTGACTTTCAACAGTGCCAAAGTAAGCTTTTACACGACCGAGTACACCGCCAATAATCATTGTATCTAAGATATTGGAAATCAACGTATGAAAGAATTTAGCTGTCGCAACTGGATGAGAAGCTATGATTTCGGCACGTCTGTATGTATCCATAAGTTGTTCTGCTTGAACATTGTCTAGATCAAGTTTGACGCCGGCAAAATATAATGCGACGGGACTATGAATATCAGCCGGATTGAGAGCTAAGAAAATACTTGGTAGTCCTTGATTGAAAATTAATGCACGGATATCTGTGCGTAATGCTGTGCGTGAATGTGCTGAGCCCATGACGCGACCACCGATTGTTTTGATATGATTTAGTAGTTTGCCTAATCCCTTGTTAGAATGCGTGTCATATGTTCTTGTAGGAATATTCTTCAGAGCTGTTTCAATATCAGAACTGCTTAATGGTTGAATTTCCTGAGTAGAAGATTGAAGATAAGGCTTCGTTGATATAAGTTGAGCATGAAGACATGCATCACGTCTTTGTAATATGTTGAAGACTACAAAAGTGAAACTATGATTCGTTTCAAAACGTCGGTCATCATATGATAACAAATAACGAATATGTTCTCGAAACCTTATTTTGATTGGCTTTGATTGATCTTCAGGTGCACCGCACCTATAAGGAAACAAAGTCGGATAGAGACCTGCTCATATGCTGGGGAATATGATTTTGTGGCAAATTAATTTTCTAAATTAATTCCTAATTTTTGACAAAATCGAAATATAGAAAGACTCTGTTTGTTCAACTATACAGTGCAGTTCCAATTGCATGATAGGGTTAGTGGTATAAACGGTATTGCGGTATTAGCGGTATATGCGGCATTGCGGTATATGCGGTATAAGCCGTATCGGCGACGTAAGTCGTGTTAGTCATATGGAAGATTCCAGAGGTATAGAAGTGTTAGAGGTATGTAAGTGTGGTGATTGAATTGGTCTTGGAAATCGAATTTAAAATTTTTGTATGTAGCAGTAGCGTATGTAGTGATTATTAGATCCTTTAATGGTGAGAAAGGCATAGATAAGGATACTTTTTTTACTGATATTGATTGATGACACTGAGAGTATGAAAAAGTTTAGACTCGAGATTGATGAGTATGAAGGATGTGTTTCGAGATTTAGAATATTCTGCCATCGGCTTTTTCTTTTTGAGCCATTGGGACGCAGAAGAGAAGTGTTTTATTTGTATATAGCGAGTATCGTGAGAGATACGAAGGGTGCTTGCGTTTTCTTTTAATAATTGTGAATTTAATGGTGATGCCACGTTTTTATAGTAGAAATCAAGTCGTATTTCTTTCTAAGGAAACCATATGAATTTGGGAGTTTTGTAGAGTATGTGATAAGAAAGTGAAACTGAAATAGTCGCACAGACGTGGCGATTTATGTTAACGCTTGAATCAGTTATGTCATCACACTGTAACCATTGTGCAAGTGATGATGGTTGTTTCCTAATTGTGCACAGTTTTTTGTTGACAATGATTATGATGTGCAGTTCGAAAGATAAGAAAATATACTGTATTGGATTCTTTATCTGTCCAACAAAGAAAAAAAACCATCTTCATCTCATGTGCAATGAGCTCCCTAAGAGACCGTACTAAAAAAACCATAAGATATTAACGTTTTCCCAATATATTTTCTAATAGTTTTCTCTTTTTTGAAGCTTTAAAAAAAACCAAAAAAGAAAATCAGAGAAAGCATAATAGTTTGAAGAACAAGTTGCGATATGACATATGGTTTCATTAATCATTGTTATCATCATGATCGCTAAGGTCAACATAGTCGTCATCATCTGGATTATCATCCTTATTTGATTCTTCAAGTAGCAATGTTTCGAATACGCAATAAGTTTGGTGCATTGATTGATCTTCAATCTTATTTTCAAGATTAGTTCCAATGATTAGACCAATTTGAGCAGGATCTTCGTTTAATTTGTCACAATTTTTCAGATGAAACAATAAAATCGTTAACAGTGCTGATGTTGGATACGCGAAACTTCGTAAAGCAAGTTTGAAATTGGTTAAATATGAAAAGGTTTGTTCAGCTAAACTGGTATTGATTCCTACGAAATCAATCTTGTTCTCTTCAGAATCAGGATTGAAGATAGTTTTACATAGCTTTCCTTTATGAACGGTATTGTGAAATCGATCAGTAACCAGTTTCATTTCCATCAGTTGTTGTGTGTATTTTGTTTTCTGCAAGTATTCACCGTTAAATCGATATTGCCAGAATTTGTACAGCTGACAAGCGGCATCGTACACAAGCAATGATGGAATTTTTGCACCCAGTTTCAACATAGTTAGTAGATGATCAGTTATTTTTCTTGGACCTTCATGATTAACACTATCGGAAAATCCAATAATAATTCCACAATTAAGAAATGATGCGATAAATCCCATTGAACGTTTTTTCGTTTCGAAACGTTCTTCAATGTCGTTTCGACCCACATTGCATTGTGACTCTTCTTGATCAAGTTTCTTAAGATAACTTAAATAATTCCCAAGTTCTTCGTCGGAGAATTTACTATTCATAGATTGCTCTTCTGTGTATTTCATTCGGTGATGATCACAGTAATAATATCCACCATCTATAATTGAACATTAAATTAAGCGTTCTTATTCATGAAATGCTATCTTATGGAAATGTTTATTCTTTCAGTCAGCTTCCCAAATGATCAATTCAAGTCGAATTATTCTAATCACTCCTTTTGTTCAACTGATAATAGGAGTTCGATTTTCAATGGATCTTCACTTACCATTTGATTCTCTCTTATCTGATTGTCGCCGTCGCGGCATGTAAGGGCAACCTTTGTTTAAAGGACCCAGTTCATCAATGTTAATCAAACTTGTAACATTGTCATATTTGCACACCAATCTTCTCCTTAAATAAATAAAATAAAGTAATAATTATTCTTTACAACCTTCAACGTAGCTTAATTTTATATTATAAAAATGATTTGCTTTCAAAATGTGAATATCATTTAAATTATTCCAATAAATGACCGATGAATTAGATACGGATTTTTTAAATACAAATAGAAATTTCAAACTTAAAGTAATTAATCTTTATATGCAATCAAAACTTACGGTTTCTGATGGCCATCGAGTATGATCACGCGTGAACAATAACCACATTTGCAACTTCCGAATATATCTTCATGATTGGACCAGAAAACAGTAAATATATGATAGATCCAGTTCAGATTCCGTTCGATAAATATTGCGCGTGATGATTGATTATATTTCACTTTTGTTCTACTTTCAGCTATTGCATATGGATATGAAATTTCTTTCAATTTACTTGTCATAAAAATGAAATTAGTTAATTCATAATATAGCCAAACAGATTGCAAATTACGAGCTAAAGTATCTATTGTAACAATATCGACGATGTCTGGACAAAGTCTTCTGAACATCTTCGCAGTTGCAGACGCAAAACCTTCGAAAGTAACGTAGTTGTCAATCAGTTGAGATGAGAATGCGATAAGAAATTCCTTTGCAAAGACAAGTGATCCTGAATAATGTATATAATCAGCTTTTTGTGAATCGGATGTTATAAGTGTTTCTTTTCGATCAATTGAATAAATGGAAGATACTCGATATGATCGATGACATCGGTGACAATCAGCCTTGTATAAAAGACAAGGTTGGATTTTCGTGCAATAGATAATGTTACCAGCACCATGGAAAATAGTCTTCAACTGTTCATAACACAAAGCACAAGTCGTTCGATATGGAAGAAGTGAAATAAGAGTAAAACTTTTTGCAAATCCAGACTGAGGTTGAATATTTTTATATTCATCCAGATACTGATTCATTTTTTCGATATTACAATCGAAAGTAAGTTCGACTCGTGTATTATGATTACCCATCAAAACGTTGTGAGCAATAAGAACTTCATTACATGTATATTCAATACCTGTTTCCTTGTTCAAAAAAAAAGATATGAAATCCAATCTTTCTTCACTTGTACATGGTGGAGGTAGTGGACGAATATAACTTGCTGGTATAAAATGTGCAGCATTAATAATGATCAGCGCTGCTTTGAAAGAACGTTTTGCTTCGTTTGGAAATGCTAATTGAAGACGCTCAAATATGACATTCATCGATAACATCTGAAGAAATAAAATCTTGTATAGATGATACATATTAACAGATTGATACATAAAAAACCTTTGCCACTATAATTCTTTTCTAGAATAAAAGAATTCATCTGTGTTAGTTACACGAATGGTATGAAAAACTATTTCTTGTTTCGCATAGTACTGAATTTTAGAAATAGTCTGATTTGGATAATAAGCATAGTTTTGAACGATCCATTGGATTCATCAATGTTTAAATGAAAAAACATGACTCTAACAAAATATTTTCTAAAACGAATCAAATGCTTTAATGATAATAAAACAACCATTAGACATTTTATACAATTCATTTCACTTTTCTCATTTCATTTGTTATATACTCTCTGTTAGTGCTACGCACCATGAACGTTTGAAGTGATTCTTCGACAAAATGGTAAATTTCAATTGTTCGAGTATGAATTTACTTTTATTCATATAGATAATGGTGACATAAATCAACCAGTGTTCTTCACACAAGTGTTGAATAAAGAAAAATCACTTTCGGTGAAAAAGAATAATGCGTAAAAATACCAAGCTAACAAAATACATGGTTAGCCAGTAAAAAGTGTACTATCTTACAAAAAGAGAGCTAAGAATTGGAAGGAGAAATGACCAAGGGGGAAACAGCGGATTATTGATTAATGTTGATTATATTGATTATATGTGATTAGTATTGATTATGAGTGATTAGATGATTATTTAAACTCCTAATCCGCTGTTTCCCCCTTGGAAATGACGCATGAAACATGACAATGAAAAACAATATCTTTGGCAGAAGACGTATTCATAAGCGAATTTGTACAAACAGCGCAGCGGGAAAGAAAGATATCGAAAACGTTGACGAGAATAATTCTCAAAAGGAGAAACAAATAGTTGGTGAAAAATAAAGAAGCAAAAGAATCTTACATCAAAAAGAATAAGAACAGGTAGTTCACGTTTTAATTGAACATGGCAAATAAAGGTCACTGATATATGACTCGAATAAAACAAATATAAAACAATTAAGACACAATATTGAATACCAATTACTACGAATCGAAATGGTAAGTAAATAATAATATGTGCATAAGTAATCAAGAGATAATCATGGACTTGAAATATGCGTATTTGTAACACCATAAGGAAGCAAAATGAAGCTTAATCTTCTCGAATCTTTGGTTTACGTTTACGTTTCGCCGGTATATCCGTGCCATATATTTGTGTTGTTTCTTTTTGTAGTTCATCCACCTTCTTTCGTTTGGCTGTCAAAGCTCGATAAGCTTTATCTTTTTGCTGTTGTTGAAATTGATCAACCTCTGTGAAAGAGAAGCAAAAATAAATGAGTAAAAGATGCGTTCGATAAAATGAAACACGCACGGAGATTCGACGTTGTTTGTGATAATGCTGTTGTCACATACATAAATTTTTCGTCAATTTCCAGATTATCTTTAAACCATTCGTCATTTCGAATTCGATCATTTAATGAAGTACTAAATGAAAATGATTGATTTCTCAATTTGCCACCAATCATTCGTTTTCCATGACCATTTGGATTTAATGAAAATTTGTATTCCTCGATATCCAGTCCAAATTCAGCTAAACTCATCGATACTTCAGGATTTGGAGGACTTCCTTTGATATAACCAGCAACTGATGTGCCTTTTGAATCACAAAACCAATCACCTCTCACCAGCAATTTCTTCATAAGCAAAAAGTCAATCAGTTTTAATCTTGATGTTTCATCGAATAATCTCGACGGTATCATTTTGAATAAATCCGTTGCAGTACCAAGAATGAATTGACGTTTTATAATAATTGATTTCCAAACAACAAAGGATTTTGGATCGATAATCATATTATTCACCTCTAAATTCGTAAAAGATTTGTATGTATCGCATAATCTTGGTTATGAGCTTATGAAATAGTTCTATGTGATGATGGAAAATGAAAAATATTTATATATTCAGGAAACGTTTTCCTCAAGAAACATGTTTACATACAAAGCAAAGACTGTTGTGCTTTGAAGCTGTCAAGATCCCTGAATTATCCTCCCGTATTTTCGATTCTACACTTAGTGGCACATATGGCAGATATTGTTATCTAGCCGCTAAGCAAATATCAATTCAAAGCTCTTTCACATGTGTGGCGAATTTATGAAAAAGATCGATTTGAATGATCCTTTCCTGAGAAATATAATTGGATGAGAACAGTGTGTTTAGGTTTAAAAGAATACGATGCGACTTTAGATCGAATACGAACAAATATGTCTCCTCTGCTCCTGAACAAGTATACGCCGACAAATGAAACCGAATTTCTTACCTTCGGATGACCATTTTTGTGACGTCGTATTTGTCGAAATTGGACGACCACGTTTTTTACTTTTTTCAGACCCTGATTCATCTGCATCTAAGAAAATTCATGTTTAATATAACTAGTCTATTATAATGATGACTCAAAGGCGTCCGTGGCGAATGAACACAAGGACATGCGTCTGATACGTGAAGTTCCTTATGACTTCTCAAAAGCACTTTGACTTCGAAATGAATGAAAGTAAGGTACTAAATAATTTTGTTATGTTTGAACAAACTCTCTTCTATTCAAAAACAAACAGTAGAGATCGGTTGTTATTTCATACACTGATAGTATTAGAATTTTTGTCAGCAAGCTTCTTATTATTTTAGTTCGAAATGTGTTTGAGAGTGACAAAAAACAGAAAAAAATAAAGACTTCTTGTTCACATACCTACATACCGTGGTTCCATTTCATTTGTTGCATCATTAAGTGGAATACTTTGTGATAACATTATTTCACCAACAAACGATCGTGACACTATCAAAGAGAAAGAAAAGTAAAAATAGAAAGAAACAATCAGAAATGCAATTGTGTCGTTCTGGCTATGACATAACGACCATTTATTTGCATAGTATTCACTGAGTGTTATTTTTTCAACTGTGTCTCCGGGAAACTATAAAAAAAATCAGTAATATTCTCAGCTCAACATCGGTTCTGTATATGATTGTTACAGTCAAGTCTCGTTTGTTTACATAGTTAAACAACAAATGGTCGTCATTGCATCAAAAACAAAAAATGTAAACGAATTACTATTGAGTGATGGTTCACTGAGATTTTCATTCTCTCTATTTTGTTTTTTTGTCACAACTGGACCAAATTGCGTTGAAATACATCTAGACTGGTGATTGTTTGCCGATCGATCATTTTCAGAAGCTAGAATGCGAAGATAAATAAAAGCATAGCTGACAAATCATTCGAAACGAAGCATTCTCTCCTTTCAACTGCTCTTTAAATGCAAAATTCTTTATATTTGTACGAACTATGCTCATTCGATCCATTGTGAAATAGAACGACAGAACATATTGTTCTTTAGTCCACATACAAGAAGATACCGTGAAAACAATTATGAGCGGCTAATTAATTCTAATACTTACATGCATGATTTTCTGTTTCTTCGAAATCGACAAGATTTACATCCGATTCTCGAACTGAAATTATATAAAAAGCAAGAGAATAGAAAGATTATGGGATAAAAAATAACCAGAAATTGATTGCTTACCAATCGTAATTGTTGAATTTGTTGCCACAATGATGTCAGGTTCAACATCATCTGTAAAACAAAATATGAAACTAAAATAACTATTCGGACAAAGTCTGTACAAAACAAAAGTGCTATAATATATATATATATATACTGATCTCCTTGGAATAACCGTTTCCTAATTCATCTCGTAATGAAAATGCCTTTTTTTAAAGCGCACGATCATCGCTTTTCTTTCCAATCACGACAAATGTCAACATAACTCGAGAAAAACAACTTTTTTCATTCATTACAATCACCCATTCGTCTCATTGAGCTATGAGAGATTACAAACATGGTACATGATCAATCAACGTATCGATAAATAAACGTTGCTTGGAGATAAAAACAAACAAAATTATATTATTTGTCCTGCTGTATCTCAACTGTATTTCTATCACCATGCTATGTCGAGACTCGAAAAATCTCAACAGCAGTATCATTTTGTATCGCTATAATGAAAACGAATCGCGAGATATATAAAGATGGTTGATAAAAATACAACCATTGCACACCTTTCTCCAACTGAAATATCATGCTTTTCTAAGATAAAAATGATTTTTGTTCTAACCTGTTCGTACTGAATCTTTAATCTTGTTGTCAAAAGAACAGTCCGAATTCACATGTGCTGTTAATAATCGTACTTCTGAAAGTAAATTGCCAGCTGATGTTAACATTGATTCAGTAGAAGAGCTTTCGACTTCGATCGTCTTGTTGAAAATGGCATGATCTCGTTGATTATTCACTTCCATAGCTTCTGAATCAATTGCTAATACTTCATCATCTATAGGAAAAACAAACCGTACGGATTTGTGATGACTTGTATCATAAAGAAGTTCTATTCTGATCTAGCAGTTTTTCATACAGACGAAGAAAAAAACAAATTTAATTAATTACAGATTGACTACGATCATGGGACAGTGTCATTTTGTTTCATAGGGTGCATATGTACGTTCCCCTCATTTTATATGCTCATTTTTTTAACGAATTATTAATCTTTCCAACAAATGTGCTGAATATAAAGAAATGTGAAATAATTCTCAAGTGTGGTAGAGTGCTTATATGAAAAAGCCATATGAAAAGTTTTCGAAATGGAAATAATGTTAATTAAAAACGTACTTCCATTGCTTGACTTAGTTTCAATACTCTTTTCTATTGTCACAGTATCGACAGAAAAAGAAACATTTGCTTGAGACGTGTTGCTTTGACGGGAAAGTTCTGATCGATAGCTGCTGATAAGGACAGGATCATTTGAATAAACTTTATCTAAGATATTTAGAAAATACAAATAACTTAATGATTAGAACTTTGCGTTGACGAAAAACATTACGAACTTTCTTTTTGGATGATTTCACCATGATGAATTCGTTGTTGCACCATTTCTCGAAACGTTTTGAAATGACGATCTTCGATATAATAATTATGATAATACTGCACAAATTCATCGTTATTTCGCATGAATTCAATCGCTTCTTCTGTGAATTCCATACCAAGTGGCAAACGTTGATGTTCAAATGTTGTTTGGTAAGTTGCCATGTTCAAACCCAAGTCCTAGAGGAAAAATAGCACACATCGTATTTGATTACAAGAAGGAATTTATTGACAACGTTTCCTTGTCGTAATATAGTTAAAAGATTCAAATACTTCATCTGATTTATGAATTTATGTGCAAGATGAACGAAAATAAAGAAGATCGTTCGAAACGTGTACTATCCAAATAACTTATGCTACATTTATATAACTTCTCATCGGAATCTAAACTTAAACAAATGATTCTTTTCCTATCGTGTGTCCTGCCCTTTATAGTATCATGTATCAATTCAGGTAGAAGATGGACGTACACTTAAACATAGAACAAACTCTGCTTACGTCAAAGGCTCGTTTAATTATTGAATTGTTTTGAATAACAGAAGGCAACTGTTTGCGAAACGACGGAAATTTTAACTCGTCACTTCTCGTTCGTGCATGTTTAATAAAGTTTCCACCAATGACCAAGCCACTTTCAACCAAAGGGGTAAGAACTTGATCAGGTTTTAAATCAGACGAATGGGAGAATTGACCGGATCCTTCCCCTTTCGTATTGTTCGTAAGATATTGACGAGGAAAAAAGACGACTGAAAAGTTCATTACTTTGCACATAGCTTTGTCCAGTTTAACTTCTTCCGGAGATCTGAAGAAGAAACATGTTAAAATATATAAAATTCCCAATCATTGTATAAAAATCATTTACTTTTCGGTTGTTTTCTTCCCAATACGTTCAGCAATTGCATCAGGTAATGGTTTAAGTGTAAGAAGTGTTTCGACAACTGACATCTTTCGTAAATACAAATGATATCCAACTGAAATATCATTTTCATTTGACCACATGATGTATTTTTGTTGACAGTTACGTTTCAGATAATCATCGATCGACTTTTCAATTGAACATTGAAATCGTGGATCAATTGGTGTAGAAGTCGATGTTATTCGATCACCTTGTTTTTGATCAATTGTGTTTAAATTATCGCCCATCAATCGGAAAAGAATACGAATAATCTTCATAGACCATATACATTTCGATAACATGTAAATCACTTTGCGACGAATAGGTTTTATATGATGTTCGGCAAAATGCGAACCTTTCCACCAGTCGTTGACAAGTGTTTGCATCAATTTGAAAGACGATATCTCGTTGCTTTTGTCAAATGCATCAGAGGTTTCTTCAAGATGAATGTCATCTTCGTCTAGATCAATTGAATATGTCGCTGGTGTTGTAACATTTTGTTTGACTCGCTCTTGCATCAAACGCTCTTCTTCTTGAAGACCTATGTACGAATGTAAATTTATCATCAAGAAATATTTTTCATTTGATATTTTCCTATTTTCACGCAAAAAAGACTTTCCAAAGCGGTTACCTTGAGAAGTTTTTCTGACATAATCAGATTTATTTGTTGAATGACGTAACTCGAATGCATTGATAAAAAACGTTGCTGCACTAACAGGAAAATGTGGAAAAGATGCAATATTTGTAAAGCTTGTTGTTTTGCTTGGTGGTAATTCGACAAGACTTGGACACCAGGTAAAAAATACTCGTCCGAATACACCATCTTGTCCTTTTGTTTCATGAAATCGTTGCAACATATGAGCCATTTTTGTTCCAGTACTGGCGACAAACATATTCAATAATGCCACTGGACGATTTATTTTCACTTGAGAGACACCTGTACCTCTAATGAACCCTTTGAAGAGCCCATCAGATGCGTCACAAAACAGACTGACACCAGCTGATGTTTCGTTCTTTCCTTGATCGTAATAGCCAAGTTTGTTTAATGCAACATCACCATCAGAATGTAATAGTATGGTGTTAACTTTCGTTAAATTATTCAACAAGGCAACTTCAGTAGCGTTTGAGACAACCATAGAATATCCCGTTGCAATCGACTTGTGCTTTGTTTTGTTCGTATTGTGATCACTGTCTAGATCCTCCATTGAATTTGAATATCGACCAGGAAACATTTCATTGACAGTTTGCAACGCGAATGAGATCTCTTGACAGATTGCACTTTTATTTGAAGCTAGAATAAAACAATAAGGTTTAAAAATAGAATAAAATTCAAAGTTAGCATAGAATGGTGTCCTTTTCTCTAAGCTGAATCTTGAAATCGCCATAAAGATTAGAATGACTTTGATGAAGCGCAGACACGTTAGAGCAAAAACTATTAGATTGTTAACATCTTTCTTGTGCAAATCTTTTCGAAAAATTCTTCAGACTGAGCTAAATCCCTGTTTCAATTTGTTTATATTAAAATGATATTTACCACTTTCTCCAATAATATGATGGTTTTGATTAAGAAAACCAACATTATTATTAACAGGACCACGAAAATAAGTGTTCTCGGCTAATGTACCAACAAGAGAATTTAAAGCCGCAAGTGTTACTTCGTATGAATGTCCATTGCGTTGTTGTTCACGTAAAAACGATAATAAATACCAGTCCTTATCTTCATTCAAGAAATGAATATCAAAATATGGAAGAGAATTTAATTGTTTGAAGTTGGAATGAAGAAGTGCTGAGAAATCAGCCGGAATAGAATAATTGAATGAACGATTATTTGCCATAAAAAGTTAGTATTGCAAGAGATAATGATCTAGAAGTAACAGTATAACAAATGTGGAATGATGGAAATATTCTTTTTCGAAATGAGAGAAATAAGATAAGCTAGTCGATTACATCGGCTTTTATAGGAATACAGTCGCACAAAGAACGTTTTGTTCGGCGACAAGAATGATATCATTTCATCTTTTGTTTTCATCAGGTGCTGGATTTAAAAAAGAGACGGCCTATTTAGTTAGGCAGAACGAACAAAGTCAAGAAATACAGAATCAATGAACACGAATAACAACAAATAAGAATACGGCTTTGTTTATACAAAGACCAATTAGAAAAAGTTTTTAAGTTCGAATTAGAATACCAATTTTGATTTTCAATCATTGCGAAACAGTTTGAACAACTTTGAAAATAATTTTCCTAGCACGGAAATATGAAATATCGATGAGAAGTTAGCACCACCTATCAATTCACTAAAGTTCCACGAATTACCTTCCACGTATGAATCGTTTTCTGGTGCACGAGACCTGTTACAATCGATGTAGATTTGTATTGTACATTGAATGGACTATAGGTTCATGCACGGAAAAATTATTGTCGAATAAATTTAGGCGCTCTTCATTTCTGTGCTACTCATACCCGTATTCATTCGATATGGATTCAAGAGAGAGTTTCTCTCTTCAGAACGTTTTCTCCTCGTTCAAAACTAGCCCATTTGATGCAGAATTGAATTCTGCATTGATTGGAACAGGTTTCATGGACGGCAAATTTAATGGCGAAAATATGGAGCCATTCATTTTTTTCTGAATGCTGACATAATGGAATCGCTGCTTAAGTCGAAACGTTGTTCTATCTACTGAAAGGAGGGTTATGCGTGGATCTGACATTACGAAAAAAAAACGCATTGATGTGTGATCGTGTGTTCGTGTGTGCGTATGTTTATTCCTTCTACGATGATTATGCATACGAACGATAGTTTTCTGAAAACCTTGACCAACAGGCAATCAAGGTCTAGGAACTCAAATCCGGTTTTCGTTTTTTTCTAAAAAAATTCTGCTCCCTTTTCTTAGGCATGATAGGTTGGTTTCTGGCAATCACTATCAAAATGCTTGCTGTTCTAATATACTGAATCATCTATTTTTCTGGCCGAAGAAGTCATTTTGCGGGAAAGAAACTGATAAACGCACTGTTTGCCATTTAGGACAATCTTGCATTGGACACGATTTGTCTATCTATCTGCTTTGCTGATATAAATTACTCATTCCTTTTGTGCGTTCGAGCAGCAGAAATTATTCTGCCACACTAATTATTGCTATGTAATGTACATATATCTAAGAAAATCCGTTTGGCTTTCAGATTTTATTCGTGAACTACGATGGAAAATATCTCTTTGCCACGTTAGTTGATGATCGATGTAAGACATTTCTGGTATTAATGGAACTTCGACTAAACAAAACTTGACTACAATACAGATACCTGTTCGCTAACATACATTACTCCCGACTTAACATATTTGCTCAATATATATAAATTAAACTAACACTGCAGGTGCCTTTTATGATCTGAATTCAGAAGCAACACATTTCTTCTCAACTGTGATGGTTCCTCACGATCAAAGCTACATCATAAGAACTATGTGTACTAAAAAAGGGAATTGATACGAATTGCTTTTGAGTTTTTCGCAAAAATATCGTCAGTGCATACTGAATTATAGCGCTAGGTATTTTCACTATTCCTATAGACCTGCTGCAAAATATGGCAGTCTTTCGATGTTTACTGGACGAAAAACACCGCAATACCAGAATAACGCTTATACCGCAATACCAGAATACCAGAATAACGCTTATACCGCAATACCAGAATACCAGAATACCGCAATACCGCAATACCGCAATACTGCTTATACCGCTTATACCACAATACCGCTTATACCGCAATACCACAATACAACCTATACCGCAATACCGCTTATACCGCTTATACCACAATACCGCTTATACCGCAATACCACAATACCGCTTATACGTCTTTTGATCTTGCGCTTATATTATCATATATGATCAATAAGTCGAATACTTCGGTATTTGGTAGAGATCTGTGTTTGAATAAATAATTATTTTGTTCCATACCGAAATGCCTTGTATATTAGCCTTATGAATGANCTCACTCGTCGAACCATCTAAATGTATGTATAAAAATTGAATAGATGTCCTAGTCGAAGCGTGGTGGAAGAGATGAACATCAGGAGAGAATGATGGTGACGCAGGTCAAAGCTGTAGGAATAAAATGCTTTTTTGGAAAAAGCCGTCTCTTCGAACGCGTCTGGACGCGTTTTGAAAAAGAAACGCGTTTATGCCGTCAGATGTTTCATCGTCTCTTCAGACGTGTGTGGACGCGTTTTGAGAGAGAAACGCGGTTGAACGCATCTGAAAGACGCGTCTGGATGCGTTTGATTAGCGCATCTAGATGCATCAAATGTTTCATTTCTATCGCGTTTGGTGCGTTTGTGCCTTGCGTTTGAAATGCATCCCAAACGCGTTTTAAACGCGTTTACACTCAAAAACATTTCACATGGGATGAATCAAGAATAAATCTATTTCGAATCCTGGTTTTATATTACTGATTTCATGTTTTTTTTTGTCAAGACTTATTTTGGATTGCTCAATTGAATGAAATATAAACTGAAAATTGCAGAAAAATAACAACATATATAATAAACAACGCTCGTCGGGGCACATTCGCGTTACCCTCGAGTGCATGGTTTATACTTAAAATAAGCAGTTGGTAGAGCATGTTTATTAGAACACGAATATGCATCTTATTTTCTCAACTATCCTATTTAACAAAGGAATCAAAACATCAAACATTCGGTGCGATGTTGTCTTATTATTATAGTTATGTTTATATAGTACATAGAGAAAAGCTTTTAGTAACTGTTCTACAATGACTTATGAAACAGTTACCGTACGAGAAAAAAGCCAGTAATAAATGGGCTCTTCACTAGAATATTAAAAAAATTAGTATATTTTTCCGCAGTTGAAAACACCTTGGAAAGCTTTGACCAAAACAGCTATAAGTACGTTACCAACCAGAGCTACTCTAAGTTTTATCCTACCGATACGTGAATCAAATTGAAAAAGTACTCTCTATATTCAAGTAACTTGTGATGGTTTATCATATGAAGGCTTTAGAAAATTCTAGAGCCATTTGACAGTGTGAGTGTGAACCTTGTATGGTACTTCGTAGTTTAAACTCCTTTCAACGCTTTACGGTTGCAAACACACCGGAACCCTTACACCTACGTCTATGTCTAAATCCTCATCCAAAAATCTAAACTAAAATCTAGACGCTCGTCTGTACCTATACTTGCGGACAAAGTCGCTCAGAGTTTGTTCATAATAATAAGTGATGCATAAATCTTGATAACACCAAGGTTTTCAAAAAGTCAAACCGAGTGCGTCACTGACAGACAGGTTCATAGATAATGTTGGCGAACGTTAAACTTCGAACTTCATGTTGATTGATAATGTGAAGGAAGAATTTTCTCAAAACTACTTTCATATTAATGCTAATGTGAACAAAAACTATCTCTACAAAGGGATCGCGTGTTGATATGCACAAAGTGACAAATGTTCTTTATCGTCAGATCGATTAACTCATGTTCAAGCTGTACAAAGATTTCTAACTTCATCTCTAATTTTTGTTTTCTTTCTTAGTAGAAGTTTTTCTCGATGAAATTCCTATATTCATATAGTGTATACTCAAGTAAAATGTCAACATTTGTTGTGAAAGAGCATTTTCCTTTTGTCGATACCTTTCACGGAAATAGTCGTAGTTTAGGACCGTATTGGTCAACTTAAGTGTTGTAATATTTTTATTGGCGAAGACTACAGTTTAAATTATTTCGAACGATCGTTGTAGCACTGATTGGACTCTCAATATTCGCATATTTTTCACATGAAATCATAATTGATTGTCTATTTTTATTCATTTCAAATTTTCCTCTCATCTTTTACCTTCGCGCCATCAAGTCATATATGTGACGTTTATTTCCTATGAACAGAATAGAAATTAAAAGCAATGTCTATAGAATTGGCCTAGCTTCAAACACAGACAAGCATGACTTTCAAAAAAGTGCCATTATTAGTCACCCAGAAAAGTACTTCGAATAACTAATAATATTAATAATGAGTCGGTTTTCTTTTTCAAAGGCATACAGAAAATAATCTTTTTACTTTCACTCAAAAATATTCTCACTTCTGTAACACTGGCAAGTGAACGTTGAAATCGGAGAACATGTCCAGCACCAGTGATTCCGTGTCTTCTATCAGCTACGTCACAATGCAAATCAATCGTCATGTCGCTTTGGTTGTACTTCTTTTTGGTACAGTGGGTAATATAGTGAACATGATAGTTCTAAGTGAGCAAACTTTTAACAAAATTCCATGCACAAATTATCTTTACTGGTCCTCAATGTCAGCAGTGATATATCTTTGGTCAGCACTACCAACACGAATTCTGGAAGGGTAAAACAGAAGTGTGACGGTTTCTGCTAATGATATAAAACCGTACATAAATATGTATGGTATAGAAGTTTTACTTGATAAAAGAAATCGCAGTGATACTGTACTTTCATTGTCCTTATATAGTATTTGGAAAGACATAGTCACATGCTAACACAAAAAAGATCTAGGTGAAAAACTAGTGTAGATAATATAACTGTCACACGTTAAGAACATGTATGACGTCGAAAGCATAAGTAAACTTAAGTATGATAGAGGATATCCAAAACATCATCTGTTATTTAATACAATCTACATGGCTAGATAATAGGATGATAATTAGATAAAAAAGTGATCCAAGGGTGATAAATATAAGTGCAAACAGAGAAAAGAGAAGAGAAGAAAGAGTATATACCAACGGCAAATGTCATTGACGTAGAAAGAAGTAGAAAGCTGTGTGAAATTGAGTGAGAAGAAAAGAATTTATAGAACTACCATCATCGCGAGAAGTATCTGTGTTATGCGCCAATTCAACTTGATATAAATGGGAGTAAAGATTTCTAGATATAAAAAGAGAACATTAAATCTAGAGAAACATTACTGTTGAGAAAATCTTTTTTTTGACATAATATTTTAGTTACTCCATTACATGGCAAGTTGAAAATGGGCCCATGTGCAAATTTCGGGTGTATTCCATCAGTATCGCTTGGGCAGTTGCTATTTGGGCACTAGTTGGAGCAAGTATTGATCGTTTTTTATGTAGTAGCCGTTTGGTTGCTCGTCGTCAACTGAGTACATTACAAATGGAAAGACGTTATATAATTGTAGTTTTCACTTTCTTTACATTGCTATTTATCGAAGTACTCTATTGCTTCGAAGCACATGTTCCAAATGTTCCAGTTGCTTGCTATGGTCGAAATATGATTTGTCGAATTGCAATCGATTGGATTTATTTATTGTTAATCATTATTTTACCAAGCATCCTTTTAATTGCATTTGGAATATTAACTATGCGTAATATTCGAACTCGAGTGATACGTCCAACGATTGGTCCAATGCAAAATACTGTTTCAAACAATACAACAAACTTACCACGGAACGATGAACGAACTCTGACGAAAATGCTATTAGTCCAGGTTAGTTTGCGCATTTCTTTCAATTCTTTATGTTATTTTCTAATAATTAGAAGCATTTCAGGTATTCATTATTTTCGTAGTAAATTTACCTTTTGCAATTCATCGTCTATATATTGGAATAACAGCGAATGTTACTAAAAGTGCATATCGTCTCGCTGTCGAAAGCTTAGTATTTGCTATAGTACTACTCACTATGTCTGTAACACATACTATCTCCTTTTACTCATATGTGCTCGCTGGTACACTGTATCGTACAGTATTCAAACGGCTCGCACGAAGTTATCTGCATCTAACGTGATCAACAAATGAAAAAATCGATAGACATATACAGAAATCAATTGAAATTCATTGTTTGTTGTATATTACACAATACTAAATAAATTCCCACTTCATTCTTTTCTAATCATTGATCATTGTCATATGTATTTCTCGCCATTGCTAACATTATTTTTCTTCAGTTACTGTGCAGAGATGAATGGAACGAGCGTTATTTACGCAACAAAATGGTACATGAAAGGGTTCATCAAGTTAATAAAGTATTCAATCGTTCGACGATAATTCGATTAGAACAACCTTAAGTTTTCTGATTATCGTCAACATATTTTTATTAACAGAAACGCTGTAAACTTCTATTAGTTCAAGAAATTTATAAATAAAAATATTAACAATAAACGTATATGATATTGATATGTGAAAATGACATGATCCACAGGTGTCTAAATTGTAGCAATACTCATTATACGAAAAAAGTCAAAATAAGAGTGTTTCACATCTGAATAACTTGTATTTTTCTAGGGATATTTACCTGCCATTGCTTGCAAATTGATCGATACCATACGTATACAAAACATGACAATTATTTTTTCCGTTCTAAATAAGTGAAACGATAAAGGAGAATGATTTTGTGGTTGTTATCTTCTTATTTCGTATATGAAGCCTGAAGCCAAACGTTTTTCTAAAACATCATCCATAATTTATTGAAACGATGCAAATCTATTTGTTTACTCTTTTTGTTGGTTTAGCAAATGCTCGACCACATATAAAAGAATCCTTCGAACAACTTCGTCGATAACTAAAGGAATGTCAAAGACGATTTACCAATAGAGATGAACCTGTTCGTTTTGAAGTCTATCTGGTGCAACATGGACACTTGAATCAGGTAAGACATGTAAATATAATTAATATTTTCATAATAATATTTCTTTTACACTGACATATACGTGGTATACTTATATGGTAGAGAGCGAATCTGCTACAATAGTTAATTTTATAAACATGCTCAATCGGAACGACTAGCTTGATTGTCGATCCGTCTTTCCCAAATCCGATAGTTCAGGCTCATACGATATATTTGTCAAAAATGGCACACGAACAGACGCGAAATATGATTGCCCGGCAGAAGCACAAAAAGACACGTACAAAGACTTCATTCAACAGATTCAGGCGAATAGTGTAGCAATCGCTAATTCGATTCAAGTTTTAAACATTTTTAATTTGGTTCATCACCATTCAATCTGAATGTTCGCCATATATGTTATCTTTTGAAATCGTTTACCTATAAGATTGATATAGACCTTTACTGGCATTTTCTGCTGTTTTTAAAAAGCAACGAATTACATAAAGTATACGGACTTTAATAACAACGGTAAATTTTATAATGTTATATGAAAACGGAAGTATTTTGTGTTCTTGTTTCCAATGGTGTCACTCTATTCTTGATAAATTTCTTTTATTTTACTTGATCGATACGAATAAAAATCATTGTAATTAATAAAGATACAATAAATCTATCGACTTTTATTGAATCACCTATAAAACCAGTCAAAGCTATAATAATGTGGGGAAATTTTCCTTGAACAACACGTGTTATTATACATTCTTGTGGTAAACATTGATTAAAATATTTTTCATAAATGATTTGTTCATTCCATTGTTCAATGATTAAAGTTGAAACAATTTGTAAAAGTGTTGTGTTCATATGATATTTTGATGATGAAACTGAAACTGATGAAGTATCGTGCTGGTTAAATTGAATAAAATCTTTCAATTTTGTAAACAGAGTTTATCAGAAAGACATCGTCAATCACTTTGTAATAAAGCAATATTTTGATAATAACTAACATAAATACCTATATGAAGAAAAATAATGTAAAATTTTGTGATTATATATGTGTGATATATCTGGAACATTGAATAGAAGAAGAATAGTATCTATGTAAATCATCAACAATTGTTTGTTGAATACAAAATAGATTCCAGTTGAAGTTGAATTCTAATGTTGATCTCTTGGATCATAAACATATTGATAAATCTGATTAGACCTATCATTATAATATTGTGGTGTAACCATAATTAGTCACAGCAATATCCAAATAAGTATCATTATTAAAATCTAGAATAACAACAGAATTCGGTTGTGAATCAACTCCAGTAAAATGTGTAAGTTGATTTTGAAATGTTCCATTTGCGTTTCCGAAGAAAATTCCAATATTATTTGTACCAGAATTTGTTTCAATAATATCCAAGAAATGATCATTATTTAGATCAGAAACAACAACAGATGTCGGATGAGAATTATTACCAGTTGAATAGATTGTTTCATCACTAAAAGTTCCATAACGTGATCCAAATAAGATTTTGATAGTGTTTGTTGAATTATCAGTAACAACAACATCTACTTTCGTTTCATTATTCCAATCTCCGCTGGCAAGAGATGTCAATTGCGATATTGATGATCCAATAGAATCCGATGGAACACTGATGAAATCTTCTATCGCATATCCTAAAAATGAACCAACATTATCAGTTCCTAAATTAACAATAAGAACATCCAGATATTGATCGTTATTAAGGTCGCCAATAGCGATGTCGTAGGGTTGAGAAAAATCGCCGGTTGAATAAGTTATTTGATCAAAAAATCTTTTATCGTTACATCCAAAAAGAATTCCTAACGTATTTGATCCATAATTAAGAACAGCAATATCCAACTGTTTTTCATTGTTAAAATTAGAAATAGAAATCGCATATGGCGTAGAATCACTTCCAGTCGAAAGAATCGTTTCATCCGAAAAACTTCCATCAACATCGCCAAAGAAGATTTGAATATTATCCGAACCAGAATTAGCAACAGCGATATCCCAAAATTTATCTTTATTCAAATCAGCGATAAGAAGAGATCGTGGAAGTAAATTAAGTCCAGTTGACAAAGTAATACCATCTACAAAAGTTCCATCTCCATACCCTTGAAATATGTATAGACGTCCCTCTGAATTACTGGCAATAACAATATCTAAGAAACTATCGTTATTCAGATCAGCAATAGACAGTGCATTCGGATATGAATCAATACCCAAATAATAATTTGTTACAGGAGAAAAACTTCCATTACTATAACCTTGTAAAACAGCTATTTCACGTGCAAATTGAAGCGTAACAACAATGTCTAAATGACCGTCATTGTTAAATTCACCCACAGCTGTTTCGGTTGGTCCTGCATCAGTCGGAAATGAAAAATATATCTGATTGGATAATGTACCATTACCGAATCCAAGAAGAACAGCGATCTTTGAACTCCAAAGACACGTGACAATGACATCCATATTTTGATCTTTATTAATATCAGCAGTATTAACTGATTTTGGATATGCTCGAAGTGTAGTTGAATAGATTGTTTGATTAGAAAAGAGACCATCGACTAATCCAAGGAAAACACCTATATTGTTACTATTTTGATTAGCAACAACAGAATCTAATTGATGATCATTATTGAAGTCAGCAATTGATATTGAATTTGGAGAAGAAGTTTTGCCGGTTGAATATGAGATTTGTTTGTGAAAAACTATCAAATCATATTTAAGAAATGTCAATACATCGTTCGAACCAGAATTAACAATGACAATATCCTGTTTGTTATCATTATTGACATCACCGATTGGGGAGAAGAACCAATTCCAGTTGAATATGTCTTTGAACTTAGAAAACTATTATTTTCATATCCATAAAAAACATATATTTTCAGCAACAGAATTGGTAACGACAACGTCCAATTTTCCATCGTTATCAAGATGATGAACAGCCAATAGCGAAGTTGGAGATGATAAGATGCCAGTGGAAAATGTTATCTGTGATGGAAAAGTGGCATTTACATTTCCTCATAGAATATTAAGATTATCTGATTCATAATTTGTCATAGTGATATCCAAATATGAATCATTATTAAATTAAGCGAGAACAATATCTCGTGGATGAGATGAAGAACCAGTTGAATATGTCGATTGACGTTCACCACCTATGTAAGTACTATCGACGAAAACACCAAGAGTATTAGTGCCATAATTGACAACAGAAATGTCGACAAGATCATTAGAATTAAAATATCCAAATCCAATTGCCCTTGAACATGAATTGTCACCAGTTGAAGAGATTTGATTCAATGAAAATGTTCCATTACCATATCCTTTGAACAACATTATATTATTATTTAGTGCCACAATTACTAACTATAATATCGAGATTATTGTCATTACTCCAATCTATGATCACACATGAATATGGCCGAGAACCACTACCTGTGGAATATATTAAATAGCATATATGAGATGGTAGAAATAATCAATACTAAAGCGTTGTATTCGTCGTATTCGTAGCAATTGCTGTAGTTGTATGAAGTGACGTCATGTCAATCAACGTCGATTTCAATGGTTTTTTCTTGACGACCAGATGTCTTAAAGATTGATTCGTACATGTTCCCATCTGTATGCGCACCTGATTCATTAGCGAGCCGTCATACACATAATGTTTTTTTCCAAAGATTATTGAGCTTGTCTTTCAATGTTAACAAAGGACCGCTTTGAAAAGTATACTGAACAGCGGTGTTTTTATTCCTCCAATATTTTGATTGATCGATTTGTTGCTGCTCGTTGGTATCGTAGTCTGTTATTAATTCATCTCGCTGTTGTTCACGTCGTGATAATAGAACAAGAGTCTTTTTATGCAGTTGTTCATAAACTATTTGATCCACTGATCGGTCGGGTAATAATGATAGTGCTTGATGTTGTCGAAAGAGAGCATCCTTGATTGCGTTCCGATGAACGTGACGCAGCTGTTCGGATAGAAACAGTAAAATATAAGGTTCGGCTACTGGCTTATGATAGACAGATGTTTTCAATTGTCCATTTTCATTACTGACGTAGACGTCAAGAAATTCTGTAGTCGTACCAGCCGACCAAGTAATTTTGATATTCAGACCTTTCTCTCCTATTCCATTCAACTGAGTAGTCAGCTGAGATAATGAATTGGTAGTCATGAAAACATCGTCTATGTATCTAAAGATGGATAGAGACGAGGGAAAAAAAAGAAAAACGCGTGAGTCTTAGCAGTGTACCTTCTATATAGTATATTATTAAACCGATATTTCTGTGCATCTAGGTCGAATGAAACGAAGAGTTCTACTGTTAACTTATGATTTTCCTAAAAAGCTTCGTTATCCGTTTGCGTCACGATTAATAAAAACATTCATGTGATAGGTAAGCGTTTTTCGACAATATACTGATATCATTTTTTTTCGTTCAAAAGTATGTTTAGATTGAGCAGAAAGGTGGATAAGTTATCAGACGCAATTATTTCAAGACAAAACAAAATGTATTGCTTCCTTCATTCATCAGTTAACGTATAGGAATAATCGCATCAAGTAGTTTTCAGATTTGAAACTGATCAACTATATTCTCTGACTACTTTTAGAGCGAGATAAATAGGGATACATCGAAATGCGCAATATAACTTGTTCCACGCATGCGGCAATGAACGAACAACCTGAGTGGTGAGTCACAAAAATGATTGAAGAAATTTGTCTTATTGTTGTCATAATGATATATTTAGATTCAATACATAAACGAGCTCGTAGGTATGTAATTATTTCATTTTGAAACTATTCATTTATTTCCATTTATCTTTAGAATTTATTCTGCGAAATCAGCATAACTGTAAGTGAAATCTTTTGTTATAAACTAATGATTTCCTTTTTGATTTAAANTATCCAAATCCAATTGCCCTTGAACATGAATTGTCACCAGTTGAAGAGATTTGATTCAATGAAAATGTTCCATTACCATATCCTTTGAACAACATTATATTATTATTTAGTGCCACAATTACTAACTATAATATCGAGATTATTGTCATTACTCCAATCTATGATCACACATGAATATGGCCGAGAACCACTACCTGTGGAATATATTGCTACACATTCAAATATTCCGTTACCAAATCCCAGGAAAATATAAAGATTTCGAACATAAAAAGTCGCGCTAATAATATCTTGATGATCATCTTTATTTAAATCACCAATCGCTAAACTATTGGGAGAAAGACCATTTCCAATATCATGATCTATTCGGTTTGCAATGTACCATTGCCATTATTAAGAAAAATAGATAAACTAGGTGAATATGTACTGATAACTGTAACATCGAGATAAGTATCATTGTTGAAATCATAAATGAGCAACATTTGTGGATGAGAACTGATTCCGATTGAATAAGTCTTCTGAGAAGCAAAACTTCCGTTCCCATAACCCAGAAAAACACCAATGTTGCCATTATTACAGTTGAAAACAACAATATCTAATCGATTATCACTGTTCAAATCTCCGATCGCGACGGAATTTGGTTGAGAATTTCTTCCAGTTGAATAAGTTTGTTGAGATGAAAACCTTCCATCACCATCACCAAGGAAAATACTAATGTTATTCGTTGCATAGTTTGCAACGACAACAACTAAATATCTATCATTCTTTAAATCCCCTACAGCTACATAAGATGGACCAGAAGCAACTTCTGTTGAATAAGTGAAACCATGTGATAATGTATTTTCATCATTACGAAGAAAAATCTGAATATTTTTACCCTGAAAATTCATTACGATGATATCGGATTGATTATCGTTGTTTGAATCATTAATAACGACGAATATCGGCTGAGAATTAATTCCTGTTGAATAACTTCTATCAAATGTCAAATTTCCATTTCCATACCCGAGAAAAATATCAATTCTATTGGATTTCGAATTCGCAACAATAAGATCAAGTTGCTTATCATTATTGATGTCTTCAATGGTAAATGATTCGGGATTAGAATCATTTTCAAGTGAATAAGTCTTTGTTAATATAAAACTTCCATTATTAAATCCAAATAGAATACCGAACTGCTTAAGATTTTTGTTGAAAACAAAAATATCAAGAAAATGATCGCCATTGAAATCAGCACAGTTGAGTTTTGTTGGATGAGAATTTGCACCAGTTGAAAAAGTGATTTGATCGGCAAAACTTCCATTATCATATCCGAAAAAAGCACCAATGTTATTTGTACCAGAATTAGTCACAAGAATATCAAAGTATTTGATCATTGTTAATATCAACAATGAAAACATCAGTTGGTTGAGATTTATTTCCAGTTGAATAAATTATTTGAGAAGATAATTGAGCATCGCCATGACCAAGAAAGATTCCAATTGAATTCATTCCATAATGAACAACAACAATATCTAATTGAGAATTCTCATCTAAATCATCAACTGCAAGTGCAATTGGAGAAGAATTATTTTCTGTTGAATAAATCTCAGAATCACAAAATTCTCCTTCTTCATTTCCGAATAATAATGTTATCGTATTTTTTCGATAATTTGCAACAATTAAATCTAATTGATCGTCATTATTTAAATCACTATGAATAATTGATCGTGGTTCTGAACCATCTTCAGTTGAAAATGTTATTTAATCTTCAAAAGTTTCATCTTTATTTCCAAGAAAAACTCCAATATTATTTGTGTAATAATTTGTAACGACCATATCTAAATAATTATCATTATTTAAATCAGCCATAGTTATGCCTTGTGGTTGAGAATTAATACCGTCTGTTGAATAAATCGTTTGATCTTCATATCCATAATCTTTTTTTTGTTAAAACAATATCGATATAATTATAATCTTGATTAACAACGGCAATGTCTAAAAGATTATCATGATTAAAATGATTTGTGATCAGAAAATGCAGATTGAAATTCTTATTTGTATAAAAGATCATTTGTTTCGAGAATTTGCCATTTCCATTTCCATAGAAAATGCCTAAATTTGGAATTTGATTATTTCCAACAATGATATCCGAATAGAAATCATTATCAATATCACCAATAACTACAAAATTCGGTGAAGAAGAATTTCCAGTTGAATAAAGTTCCATTTCCAATACCGAGAAAAACATAAATATAATTTGTAGTAGAAGAATAGACTACAATATCGAAATATGTATCATCATTTAAATGATTTATATCAATTGAAGTTGGAAGAGAATTAACACCAGTGTATAACATCATTTGATCACTAAATCTTCCATTCTTCTTTCCAAAGAAAATTCCGATATTATTCGTTCCAGAATTCGTAACAATAAAATCGAAATATTTATCTTTATTGAGATCTTTGATCATTAATGAATGTGAAGAAGAATCATATCCAGTTGATAAAGACAAATGTTTCTGAAAATCTCCTTTTCCATTTCCAATGAAAATTGTCATATCATTTGTTCCATATTAACTGTAACTAAATCAATGAGTGAATCATTATTTAGATCTTCATTAGATGTCCATCGTGGGCGAGATCTTTCAAGAGAAATCAATTTCCATGTGATGAATGTTCTATTTCCTTTTCCAAGAAAAATCCCAATATTATTCGTGCCAAAATTTGCCACAGCGATATCTAATGTGTTATCTCGATTGAAATCAGCAATGGAGATAGAATTCGAAAAGAAATTCTCTTTTTGTTGCATAAATATTCCGATAGTATTTGAACCAGAATTTGAAGTATCAAAATCATTTAAATCATCATCATTCAAATCTCCAATTGCAATCGAAGTTAGATGAGAATCAGTTTTGATTAAATATTGAGCTTCTGATTTAAGGACATATTTACATGTTTTATCTAAATGAACAGATAACATTGAAAATGACTTTTTCTATGAAAAATTTACTTGGTGACTTTCGTAATGTGAAAAAAAACAATGAGAGTACCAGTTAACATGACTAAACATGTAAATAGACCAGATATTATCACTCAGTTCATTGGAGATTTGAAGAATCTTTAATAAAAATGATTTTTAAATATAAATCGATGGAAAGAATAAGAAACAAACGTGTTTGTTGAATTTTCCGTCGAATGCTTTTTTCCTTATTGACATCAACAATTGCGTTTGTATTAATTGAAACATAAAGAAAAACTTAATCAAGATTGAATTATTTCGGTTTCTGTATTCCAATGTACATTCAAATGTTGAATAAATTTAGTTTTTTTACCTTATCATTAATTGAATCTCTTATTTTCTTGACACAAAAATAGTTTATCGATTCGAAAAGAAAAAAGTTCGCATTCATCTACTCTTCTCGACTTTTGTTTCGAAGAAAAGAGTAAAAGATTGAGGATAAACATTTTTACCATCTACCAGATGTCAGCTGAATTTAATAATATCGATTCTCTTTTGACGAAATATTTTTTTGAAATCAAATTGATGGCGTCTACTTTCATGAATATCAAGTCTCAACATATTTGATTCAAATTGAATAAAAAAAATTTCATACAGAATTTTTCGCCTGTTTACTGTCACTTGTGAGAGTGTGGTATAGTGCAGTATGAAATGTTATTCGTTGATAAATACAGATGGAGTCGCAACTTATAAATCATTCTTTATATCGTGCAATGAAAAGAACTATCAATCGAGATGTATCATCATTTTATGCACGTGTGAATGATGTGTCTTTCGCTTACAGTGAAACTTTTTTTTCTATTCTAAATACTACATAAATAAATGAATAATTTCCAGGTATAATAAAACGCTGTGATTGAATTCTATCAAAGATTGAAATATGTACAAAATTGATCAATATACATGAGAACAAATGTATGTTCGGAATATCATCAGTAAAAATTGAACGAATGCAAACAGCACAACCAAGTAAAAGTTAATTTGTTATCGATAAACCAAGAAAATATATTGAACTAGAACTTTTACATAATGATGTTTGAGAAAATATTAAACGGAACGATGAATATCGCTCGCCAGAATTATTCGCAATAAATATTTACTTAAGCTACTGAAAAAAGTTGAACAAAAAACGCAACGAATAGTTTGTTGTTGAATCCATAGACAACTGTCGAAGAGCTTGACATGTTCACGGCAAATGTTTGATGTTCGACAAAGAAAACGAATATCTAATGAATCCATTACCTTATATAATATTTCAGGCTCTTTTTCTTTATTAAACCGGAACAATGAAAAAAGTCTTTTTCATAAAGTATTAAAAATAGGCCATAAATGTGTGTTAGTGCACCGGATCAATTAAATGACATGAACATTTTATGGAATAAATCTGTAATTTCTATTCGTTCGCATAATTTTGTAAGTCAGTGAGAAGAACTCAAAATTCTTTACGGCTTTCATTTTTTCTTGTTAAAACAAATCTTTGTTTGTCCTTTCTTATCAAATAGATCAACACACCTCATCGTTGGAGTTTCTCTTTATTTATTGATAAGGTCATGTTGTTTTATCGTATTCTTCATTTCTACAACGTATATAGAATAAGATTCAAACTGCCTTTCGTTGATAAAAATATTTAATAGTTTTCAAAAATGAATCGTACAGTTTTGGTGACTGGTTCATCTCGAGGTATCGGACGTGCAATTGCTCTTCGTCTCGCAAAAGATGGCTTCGATGTCGCTGTTAATGACATCGAAAGTAACCATTCCGATCTGGAAAAAGTTCGACAAGAAATCGAAACAATGGGTCGAAAGTCAATTGCGATTATCGCTGATGTGTCCAAAAGTGAAAAAGTCGAAGAAATGATGGAAGAAGTTGTTGAAAAACTTGGAAGTCTCGATGTAAATATTTATTTTTGTCATTGTTCAAACAATTTCTATCGTTTCTGTTGAATGAACAGGTAGTCATTGCAAATGCAGGAATTTGTTATGTCAAATCATTGTTGGAGATAAGTGCAGACGAATGGGATGAAGTTTTTGCAGTTAATATGCGTGGCGTATTTCTTTGTTATCGCGAAGCAGCGAAAATTATGATTAAACAAGGCAAAGGTGGAAAAATCATTGGTGCTTGTAGTACTGCTGGATATAGAGGATATCCAATGATTAGCCATTATTCAGCTACGAAATGGGGTGTGAGAGGTTTAACACAAGCAGCTGCTCAAGAATGGGCTCGGCATAATATTACAGTTAATGCATATTGTCCTGGTAAATAGACTTCAACGTTTGAAATTTGTTAAATTCAAATCATTTTCCAATAGGACTTATTGATACACGAATGACTCAAACATGTAATGAAGAATTGGCTAAACTTCGCGGATTAACAGTAGAGGAAAATGCATCAAATTCTGCGAAAAACATTCCAATTGGTCGTACTGGGCAGCCTGATGATGTTTCAAATGTTGTTTCGTTTCTTGCGAGTAAAGATTCAGATTATATTACAGGACAGAGTATTTTAATTAATGGAGGTTTATTTTTTTCATAATTGATATTTTCTTTTTTTAATAATTAATACTATTGATGAGATGAAGAGACGGAAACTCCAACTTGGTACTGTAGTGACAATACGACCACTAAAATGACATCAAACAGTTGCTTTCGCTGTTTCAACGCCATTGAGTACCTTCCTTGATCGAAACCGAGGAAGAAATGAATTGTATAGAGGGAAGTGTTGTTATTTATTTTTCATGGGAATATTCTGACGGTGAAACAGATGTATGTTGTTTGATTAAAAAAAAATTGTAAGTTCAGGAATATAAACGATGCTAATGATGACAATTAGGAGAGATGTGATTCGAGAAAGAATACGAATATTGCTGAGAGTGAACAACGCTACGGAAGATGAACGACACAAAGACCTATGAAACACAAAGCAACGACAATTGTTCAAATACCTTTTTTCACTCATCTTTCAATGTGTGATAGTATCGGGACAAATAAAAGAAATAGTTGACATCATTATCATGACTAAATCTGGTAAACCATGTAAATGAAAAAGTATTCGCTTTCTCCGTTACTAATCAATTTAGATAAATAGTTATTTTACACCCGATCGGATACTACTCTATTTTTGAAAGAAATTCTAGTGAAGATTACTCTTCATTCATCTATTGTCATTATGAATTACTGTATGGATGTCAAAATATTCCACAGTGTTTAAGTTACGTGACCATTTCAGATACATTTATCTGATGGCCATAGTTCAGATTTTAATAGTTATTATAGTTCAGTGGACAATGATTTTTGTCTATGATTTATTCTCTAATCAATTTCAAAATACTATGAATGTAAGTTGAAGTCAATATAAAAGAAACATACTTCTAATCTTTTTTTAAGGAAAAAACTACGCATTAAATTTAGTACGAGATAGCCAAGTTAATAAAAATAATATTTTTTTGTTGAACAATTGTAAATAATACATAAAAAGTTATATAAAAATATACACAAAAAAGTTGATGAGCATTACGAACAGAAACTAAAAAGCAAAAGGACATACGAAAATCTAACTCTGTACTGTATTTACTATTTCATCTGTTCGTTTATCTTGTCTCCTAAGACAACTAAAGTACAAAGATTTCCAAGAGTTAATCTATTTCTCTCTTTTCGACCAATATAAGAAGCTACAGAGTCTGTCCACCTAAAATGTGATTCCGTCAGGCTATATTCTTTGAATGATTAATGAGGAGCGCATTCATAGGGTTCAATGGTCCTATAGTTTTATACAGTTCATTGTACCTAACAAAATCTGGTATCGGACAAGTGAAAATAGTTTTCTATACATTCAAAACAACGTGACGGAATCCCTTACTCCGTGGCCAGGCTGTACTAGCAGTGCTGGAAACGATGTTGCCCTCGATGATATAGGTTCATGAGAATGCTAAATACAAAATATCTTTCATAGGGAAAGACAGACACAATTAAAATTATAAATATAATCTATCATATAACCTGTGATTTTTCTTTATAAGAAAAAAAAATGAAATAAAAGTTTTTAAATACAAATGCAAAGTATTTTCAATATATGATTTGTTTTTCAAGTGAATTCAGAAAATATTGACTTATTTTAATCATGTAAAAAAAGGATTTTCACATAATTTATTCACATATAGTAGCTGTTACATTATATATTCTGCAAATGTTCTCTGATTATAATCATCAGTAGAATGTAGATGTTCGATATTCGAAAGAAATTCAACTGATTTCAAGGAAATCATTAAAAACTTTCGAAAATGCTAACAAGGACATACTCACGATTTCTCATGGGTTTTAGTGTCTTCAAATTCACTTGTTCGACAGAGTTATTCACGTTGTATCAAATGAAAATAATTGAAGATATTGCAAGTAGTGAAAAATCGAACAACAGATCCATTTTAAATAATACAATCATTTCTCCAATAAGATTTACTTTTTATATGAGATCATCTATAGAAAATCAAAATAGTACAATCGTAAGTGTTTGAACTGCTAACTACAATTATTGAAACATGTCGCAACAAGAATTCGATGAGAGTAAAGAATAGTAAAGTATCGTTATGTTTATGTCTAAAATTATTTGTAACGAAATAATTTATTTCAGTGTTCATCAACGTGCTACAATACTTGTTTGAATTGTATGCAAAGATTTTGNGAATGACTCAAACATGTAATGAAGAATTGGCTAAACTTCGCGGATTAACAGTAGAGGAAAATGCATCAAATTCTGCGAAAAACATTCCAATTGGTCGTACTGGGCAGCCTGATGATGTTTCAAATGTTGTTTCGTTTCTTGCGAGTAAAGATTCAGATTATATTACAGGACAGAGTATTTTAATTAATGGAGGTTTATTTTTTTCATAATTGACAATTGATATTCACGTCCTAATGAAACATTTCTTGATTTTTATTCAGTTTGCTTTTTATAACTTATATCAGCGTAAAATTTCTTTTTTTAATAATTAATACTATTGATGAGATGAAGAGACGGAAACTCCAACTTGGTACTGTTGTGACAATACGACCACTAAAATCACATCAAACAGTTGCTTTCGCTATTTCAACGCCATTGAGTCCCTTTCTTGGCCGAAGCTGAGGAAGAAATGAATAGTATAGAGGAAGTGTTGTTATTTATTTTTCATGGGAATATTCTGACAGTGAAACAGATGTATGTTGCTTTGATTAAAAAAATTGTAAGTTCAGGAATATAAACGATGCTAATGATGAAAGTTAGGAGAGATATAATTCGAGAAAGAATACGAATATTGCTAAGAATGCACAACACTACGGAAGATGAACGACACAAAGCAATGACAATTGTCCAAATACCTTTTTTCTCAATCATCTTTCAATATGTGATAGTATCGGGACAAATGAAAGAAATAGTTGACATCATTATCATGACCAAATCTGGTAAGCCATATGAACGAAAAAGTAATCGCTTTCCATGTTACTAATCAATTTAGATAAATAGATATTTTATACCCTCGCCTTAAAAATTGCACCTGCATATTAACAACAATGACAAATATACTACTAATCGTTGATGTCAGAAAACGCGATGCGCAGAGATTTTGGCAAATTGCTACTGATAATGATTCAAAAATTTCCTAGTCTAACACTGAGACTGGGGAAATTTTGGTAAGATATATCGAGGGAAAACTTGATCTCGTCATAATTAACTGTTACAAGGTATAATTCATTCTTTTGATTTTTTGCATTACTTTTGTACTGTACTCTTGATCTTAGCAAGGATACAAGTGTCATTATCGAAGTGCTTTGGGATACCATCGCCTCAGCGACTATTTTCCTAAATACTTTTGCCCAACATAGAATAAAATTGCTCCGTGAGTGACGATGATAAAATATCTTTCGGGAAGTTTTTCGTGACGTAAGAGAATTTTCGGCATCTCTCTGTGACACGAAAGCTTGATGAGAAGTATTTGTTAACGATAACTACTGTTCATAAACAGATAGAATGGTCGATTAAAAAAATCTTCAACTTCCGATTTTAATTTGTGATTTAGACGTTATTCTCTGTTCGTTTGTCATAACCGCTGGCATTCTCGATGCTGTAACCAAGCAATTAAGTCATTCATGAAGTGTTCAATAAACTTGATTAATATTTTCGTTATTTTCAGTCGCGTTACGTCTGCAATACGAAAGCAAAGCTTAAACAAATGGAATTGATATCAACTTCTGCTTTGGGTACAGCTGGTTCAAAATTGAAGATTTTGAATATCTCAGTGAGCTTTTTACAGCATATTCTTTCTTCGCTTCTTTCGTATCAGATGATTCCAATGCTGTGTTTGGACTATTATTAAAATCTCAAGTTTCTTCAATCTTCATTTGCTCATTATTTTGATTCTTAACATATTGAATTTCATTTATTTCGTTCTCGAAGCATTCCGATATAGGAGTTGATTATCGATTACCTTCAGCAACCTGTTGCTGAATATAGCTGGATACTTTTAGTTGATGTACTCTGCGAGATCAGTGTCAATATGACGGATTTCAACAGGATGAGTACCGGGGACGGTGGGTTCTGAAGCAGGATTCCATGAATTTCCGACAAAATCCCTGAGAAAACTCGCCATTGCTGAGCGGAGCCGGCCGTTTCCCTGCCAGATTGTTGAACCCGGGCACGCTTTGGTTCGAGCTCCGTATATTTTTTTATTTCACCAGAAATTGTTCCCAAATGACATGAACGAATACACCTACTCTTTCTTAGTGTTGGTATATCGAAGTTTCGAGAAGCAGATAAACGTAGAAACAGTTTCACTGAATGTGTCGAGACCATTCGACAAACACTTGCGCAGCCAAATTTGAACGAAAAGAAATCTGCAATGTCGCTAATAATCAAAAGTTAAACTATTATGTGTAGATTATTTACATTATTTCAGTACAAGTATTCGTTCATGCGAATACTGATATTAACAATGGGTAGTCTTTTTTTGTCGGCATAACACGAATAAAAAGCTCTGGAAACCATGAAGACATTGTTCTACTTATTGGTAATTGTTAATAAAACAGCACATATCGATGCATCGTTATTATCGACGAAAATGTCACAATATCTCAGCGAAATTAAGAAGGTGGGAGACTTTGAAAGAGCGTGACTAAAGAGCAAGTAAGTATTTATCAAGCACGTTTAGGTATCACGACGACCAATTCGGCTTCCTCTAGAAATATGAATTCTAGTATTAAGTTCGTCTTAACGACCAACTTGAGTGTCAGGAGTAACTTTTTTCTTAATTCATTATGCGGTTATGAAGAAATGACTATTGACGCTTATTTATCTTATCAAGAGAAACAATGGCAAATTTGAATTTCTGGGAAAACGCTATAATGCATGAAATCTCCTATATTTAACCTCCTACCTCAGAAAAAAATCAAAAGAAAATGCTGTTCTATACGGATTCTCGCTAAAATAAAGCGTAGTCCACTGGTAGGCTACATCGTGGCGAATATCTTAATCAATCATTTCTATTTTAGATTTATTAATATTCAAACTGATTTCCGAATTCAAGCTTTAATTTTTGGCTCTTTTTTCTATTCGAGCTTCAGGAATAGTGCCTAACATTATATAAACTTTCTCCTGTCCTGTTATTTAAGAACTGTCGAAATGTTATCTTGAGTAATATGAATAGTAAAAGTAGTCATTTTTTTGGTGGAAGAATAGATTCGAGACTGTTTGATGAAACATAATTTCGTACTCTTGAACTACACCGATTCTATTCTGAAATCAAAATGCTAAAAATTTGTTAGTCTATCCGTCTGTCGGAACCAATCAGGTTACAACATTTTTTGGTCGAGATGAAATAAATTGAAATATGAATCTTATTTCACTTATGATAAAAATATTTTTCTGAAGTGTGCCATAGAGAAATAAAGAGTCTGAAAGTAAAAAATTGTTAGTTGTTATTGATTCATGTGTTAATAACAGATGATATAAATAATACTGGATATGACATTTGATTAATAATCTTTGTTGCGAGATATTCCATTTTATCTTTTATTTTTATGGAGAACGTCAAAAAATGCTCGATGAGAAAAACCAATATCTGTTTTTGATTAAAATCAGAGAAATCAGTATTGAAAATAATCATTTTTAGACAGATTTTATTTTCATATAGAACTTCATTTAGTCAAGAAAACTAGTAATATTGTTCATTAATGCAACAACAAGAGTTTTCTTTTAAGATGCTTCATTATTCTTCTCTTTTATGCGATTGACATGAATATCTTAGAAACATGACTTTTGTCAGATGTAATTTTAGAAGAAAATGCGCAGTAACCTCTCCTGACAGTTGTCGGTAGATCAAAAGTAACAAATTAATGTGAAATCTATTTAAAGAAAAAGATATTTTCGATGTAAGAATTAATGATCAATATAGAATCTTTCTCGAAACCATTTGATTGGTTTCGGACGACGTATTCATCAAATGCGCAAATGTTCAATGATCGATGAGTAGCAGAAATTTACGAATCTGCACGATAAATTTCAATTTCCTTTCGATTTGTATCAAAGAAAAAGATAGAAGAAAGAAAAAAATGATTCTGTCAAGTGTAAAGTAGAAATGAGTGTGAGAACAAGAATTTTGTTTTTAAAGTAGAAAAATTTGATGAACAAATAATAGAGACCAAATAGAAAAAGTTCCTTTTTAACGTACGAGATTCAACTTACACTTGAAAATGTCTTCGTCGTTATCATTTGTCGGAAGAATGATTACAATCTATAGTGGAATTCCACTTTTTATTGGTGGTATCACAGGTGAAATTCTCAAAATGATTGTATTTTCAAGTCTTCGGACGTTTCGACAGAGTTCGTGTGCATTTTATTTAACTGTTACATCAACTATGAATATCGGTCAATTATCCACTGGACTTCTCGCATTGATTACCAACACTTTATTTGGTGTTGATGGAACCGAAAGTTCATTGTTCTATTGTAAATTTCGCCCATATTGCTTTCAAACATGTGCATTAAGTTCATTAGGATGCTTCTGCTTAGCCACATTTGATCAATACTGTGCTACCTGTTCACATCCTCGTTGGCAACAATGGTCTAATATTAAACGAGCCAAACGCCTTGTCATTATCAATATAATTATTTGGGCTCTGCACGGAATTCCATATTTAATTTTCTTTGAGCAAATTCAATCATCAATTACAGGAAATGTTAAATGCACCAGCAGAGATTTCATTTTTGCCTATTATCGTTCTTATGTTATCATTTTTATCCTTTTTGGAATTTTGCCTATGAGTATTTCAACTATCTTTGGATTATTAGCCTTTCGGAATGTACAAGAACTTGGTTATCGTACAATACCGATCGTTCGACGCGAATTAGACAAACAACTAACAAAAATGGTTTTAATACAATTAATTGTCAATATCTTTACTCTTTTACCAAACACAATTATCAGTACAGTATTGACAAGTCCAAATATTCCTTCTAATACACTTAATCAAACATATATACAATTTGCTTATTCTATAGCTCTTCTTCTCAACTATGCTTATTTTGCAGTAAGTTTAAAATAGTATATATCTTAGTCGACATTTACTGGATATTTCAGAGTTCATTCTATATATACATCTGTGCATCTGAACGATTTCGTCGACAGTTCATACATGTCTTGTTCACGGTTCACCTAGAACGATGGAGAAAACCTCTACCAATAAACAATCAAGTTCAACCAGAATTCTAAACAATGATTATTGTCGACACATCTTACATAAACTGGAAAAATTAGGACTTCCCCAACGTTTGTCATCTTCGGAAGATAATTTGACAAATAAGAAAGCTATATTGATACGCAAAATCAAACTTTTCATTAACTCACTTTAACAGGTTTAGAAATGTTGAAAATAAAATGTCTGACGCATTCATCTTGAGGGTGGGTAAGGGTGCGATGTGTTTCAACGAAAAGCTACCACAACCATAGAGACGACTTAGCAATTGGGATATTTTCATTTCGCGTGCTTGAAGCTATTGGAAAAGTTTTATATATTAATGTTTTAAATATTCGGATAGATATAGGTCGCCATTCGTTGTGGTGTCGGGATTCTCTGTATTTGTTGGACTTTTCTGATTCGTAGGATTTCAATATTTCTGATCGCACGATTTATGGGCGAACATACAGGGAGTTCCTTCTGCGCTATTTTCTTATTTGCTTCCTATTGAAATCTATTGCCTGAGATACTTTTTCATTATGAGCAGGATTTGTTATGCATATAGTACCTTTGTATTCTGTTATCAGTTTGTTAAATTTTTATGTCATTGGCGATATTCGTGATGTCATCAGAACCTCTGTGTTTTGAAGATACGGAATGTCATACCGGTACCTTGTTAGCGTTTTCGCCTTTCAATCGTCTCTCATATTATTATTACTAAATATATGACATGGTTTTTATCGGTCAAAGTGACTATCAACCGTGATTGTTATTGCTATGATCGATGGATTATATAAAAATGATTAATATATTTGTAGTTTTTTCACTTTTCCCGCATACGTGTCTGATGATGTGTTACGAGGGAATCATCCGACGTGTCAAAACGCTTTATGGCTCGGAATGTGACGGGTAGGTAGGGCATACCTAGGTGTAATATATCCTGAGTTGGTCCGTGCGCAAGTTGCTTTCAGTAAAAGTTATCAATTTTTCAAGTTACAAGCGATATTGACAGTTTTACCAAAAATTCAAATTTTTCTATATAAGAAAATGAGTGCAGTTTAAAAACTTTTTATTTACAATATCAGACATGGATCTGGCTCGTTTTTTTCAGATCGAGATGATTCCAGTCTCGCGATTTTACTTTACCAACTAATTAGAAAATGTTGGCTTGAAAAATGCTACGGATTCCTGAGGAATTAATTAATTATTTGCCGTTGAAAACTAAAGCTTGGTCTTTTCCTGTCTTTTTCTCAACGTTTTTGAATATAAACTTTTCTTGAATGTATACGCGATCACTATGGCAAAAAACAAGCATAATGGAATAACAATGAAAACAAAACACTGGTTTAGATTAGCCAGATATCACGGATATGAAAATTAACGAAAAAGTCCTGAAAACAAAAAAATTTTGCTACAGTGACCACATCGAATGAATGCATATTGATCACATGAATGTCCGTCACAGTAATCTTGTTTGAATTTGAAGCATACTTGTGTAACTGATTGAAATGATCGAGAATCAACATCAGTGTATCCACTTTTGAACCATGCATATCGTATCATAGGAACGAAATCTGGAGAGGAAAGTTGATTATGAATAATCGATTGTAAGCGAATTATATTATTTCTTTGTGCAAGATGAATATCTATTTCATCGAGAAGAACACGCTCGTGAACCCCTACGAACGATCACTTTCCACTGTCTATTAAAGAAGACTTCCAGTGGCTGAATGGTAGAAATTGTTTTCCGTGGAATTTCTAGTCGCTTAAGTCTTCTTATTGATTCATAAATGCCTTTTTCATATGTCTGTCCATGTCAACATATTACTGCTCATTCGACCATTTACTTCGTTGAGACATATATAAACAGGGCCGAAGATCTTACCACTCATGGTGATCGTCGGTTGAACCGTGTAACTATAAATAGTTGCATTTACTGAACGTACGGTGGCAAGTGTCGGCTTTTCTCCTTGATATGAGAGAGTTCGAGTTGAGGGACACTCAAGCTGAAGTCCTGCCTGATCTCAATTCAATACGAAATCTTCATTATAATAAGGTAACAATGATTTAACTTCAGAAACAAATTCATCAGCTGACTTTTTAATTTCAGCTTCATTGACGATCTCACGCTTTGTTACTACATAGAAAAGAAGCGATTTACAGATCAACTTATCATGTAAAACTTTCGTATGGTAGGTATGATTTGTTTCCTAACCTTTATAATTTTTCTCGAGCAAATATTGTGTTTGTGTTAAAAATTCAAGATCCAATGATCTGACGCCGCGAACCCATGCAATGACGTCATCCTTGCTTTTCGTACAGCACATCTTTTTAAATCAATATCATGTACTACACAGAGAAGATCCCGAGCACACTCGAAGTAGTTATAAACGTAATCGTCTACTGAATCCATCTTTTGTTTCTTCGCTCCCCCTTTCTCAATATAGTCTCGTAAGCGGGACATATACGATTGATCTTTGATTCTTCTACAGTTGTTCTGAACGTTTCTCCATGTATGAGATCGTTTCCCCGTTTTTGGATTAATTGCATCATAATAATCAAGCGCTTGCTTCATATATGACAAAGAAAATTATTCGAACACCGGGTTTTCTTCGTCTTTTGCTTTGTAATCCAAATTTTCCTCGCATTCCTCAATTTAATTATCCATTGTATTATGATCGAGGGTAATTTCATTTTCTTCATTGTATGACGTGCTTCTCCATATTGACTCAAATACATTAAACAACTGATCAGCAATTTCATTTTCCTGAATCTACGCAAGTGATGACGAAGCTGGAAGTTCTTTATGTGTTCGTTCTTGGAACAATTCCATTGTTCGGTTTATTTCACTCATTGTTTTTTCAGATTGTGATAAAACTACGTGATACATTACTATATATTCTTG